TTTCTGAGTATAGCTATACCTGGCTATTTCACAAACCTGAATCTGGGCACCCACTCCAACAAGGTTAATTGACCCACACGGTGACATTATATCACTGAAGTGATGTGCAAATGAACGATAGAAAACCGGTCGCGCAAATCTTTGCGATCGTCGTTTTTGCGCGTGCGCCCCATGACGCCCCCTGCAAGATGCCACCCTGGGTAGGCGCCCATGTTGCCCCCACCTAAATCCGCCACTATCTGCTCCCATTTTCTCTGCTCGTCACCCAGCCATGACGGCAGAACAGTTGTTGTTATTTATTTTATATTTATTTAACTCTTTCTCTTCTTAAGACTGGGAGATTCATTAACATCAGACGTGAAGGAAGAGACAGAAAAACACAAATATGTTTACATTATTTAAAAATGTATTTTTCTTTATTGGTAGATAAGCATTCAAATGACTCAAACAAACTCTGTTGTTTTTCCTACGAAACCGTTAAATAATACATACACAGTCCATGAACTATTTTTCCTGATGAAGTCAGCACAGTCTGATGCTTTTATCACTGTACTCAACAAACTTATCAGACTCGTGAATTTGTGTTGTTTAATTTCTCACCGAACTCTCCAATCGCGCCTAAATTTCAAATGCACGTGTCACCGAGGCCACCAATCTTATCAATTACAACATACCTCGTAAAGTTAAGGAGAAACATTGTGTGAAAATTAATTTTCTCTCAATTGCTTATATCCTACCAAACTTATCAGACTCACAGATCTATTCAAATTACCCATCGCATTTGCTTTCCCCGGCGAATGTCCTGACCTTGCCGAATGCACGATTGCTTCTGAAGGTGAACATGTCGAAAAACGACGAAACCAAGGCACAAGCCGTGTGTTTGCATGCTTATGTGACCCTGGCTGAGAATTTCATGGTGATCGATCTGTGAACGGAATGATGTTTCAGATCTACCAGTTTGAATGTTAATGTTTTAATGAAGGCAAATTAATACATTCATTCCCAAAGTATAAACTCTGTTTTAAACTGGAACACTGAAGATTTATTTTTCTTCTGTAGATATTCTAAATAGAACAAATTATGGATGACGCAGTCTTGGACTGATTTCAATCAGAAGAATCGCTCATTTTGAAGTCTTGTTAATTTCTCCAAGTATGTGTCTCTGTAAAAGTGTATGAAATGTGCTTTATTGGTCTGCATGTGCTCGTAACATTATTATGCCAACTCCCAAGACCCCTTTTCTGTCAGCTGCGCGTATCCATATGGTCTCTCTCCATTCCTATACACCATAACCGCTGCTCAAAAACAGGCTCTTCCCCTCCAGTCCAAACCCTGCCCTCTATTCTTTCCACTTCTCCGTAACCAGCTCACCTCCAGAGGTGCCTATGCATCGATCTCGCTTATCAGATTCCCGTATCTTATTTACTATCAGCGAATACATTGCAGGTGCTGTCACAAAGTGATGCGTGCATAAATACAATGGAAACAGCGATACAATGAGCACAATGGAGTCGTACAGAGATCCGTCACCTCTGCTCAGCGGCGCTGTGCTTTCCGCGTGACACCCATTACCCTCTCCCACCGCTTCTCATCCTTTTGTACACAGATATACTCTTTTTCCATGAATAACATCACACTGCCGAAGCAGGTAGGAGCTCCCTCTGGGATGTCTGTGAAATAGCTTTAGCTGGGTTTTCTGCCTCCTGCTGTCCAGGACCCCAATGCATGTTCACTCTCTTATTGCTACGTGGACATTTGGTAATACGTCCACGAGTCTGACAGGAAGAGCCTGACAAGGCCTGTGTGTCATAGGGCATTTCCCCCTTCCGCACATTTGATGGACTGGTCTCTCTCTCTCTCCCTCCCTCTCTCCCACTCTCTCTCTCTCTCTCTTCCACTCTCTCTCCTTCTCTCCCTCCCTCTCTTTCTCCCTCTCCCTCTCTATTCCACTCTCTCGTTCTCTTTCTCCCTCTCTCTTTCCCTCTCTCTCTTTCTCTCTCTCTCTCTCTCTCCCCCTCGCTATCTCTCTGCCTCTCCTTTTTTGGGGGCAATGTCACACCAGTAATGATATTGCAGAGCACATCTGGTTCCTTGACAGCAGTCAGTCAGAGTTTAATGACACTGAATATAATAAAACTGCAGTGGGTGTAGATTACTGACCATGGCAGTGAGAATCTTCTTGACAACTGGAAGTTTCCTTTTCAGTGATTCTGTAGGTGATTAAATGACCTCCTAGTATTGCTGCCATTACAGTTTTTATTACTTAAGAAGCTGTAGCTCTTGAAACACAAAGCAGATAGCTTAACATGCTTGAGCCACTCAATCCCTTGTTTTTGACTATATATGTGATTAAATCATCTACTATTTCGGCATTACTATTTTGCAAATGCATAATATAGAATGAATTTGACAGGACTATGCAGCTAATACTCAAAGCAAATAGTAGGGATTTGAAAAGGAAACAAGGATTTCGGCGCAGTTGAAAAACGACATAGATAAAAGCTTCTAAAGCAGTTTCCTGATTCTGCTGACAGTCTCTAGACTGGCCGTTTTCCCTCCCGGTTTCCCTGCATACTAATATAAGTCTTTGAACAGACGAAACCCGCCTAAAGAGGTCTTTAGGTGTTCTGCAGCTTCTGGCAGGCAAACCTAAGCCCTCTACATCAAAAGAGACCAGAAAATACACCCTTGGACCAGCCTGTTAGATGTACTCTGCACCCTTAAATTTATTTATCATTCTCAGTCGTCGTTCTCTCAGTCTTCCCATTAAACCATCTGAATGACTGTGTAGTCAAATATTTCCTGTGAAGACCCATCTCTGCCATAGCTGCTCGCAGAACGCACCACTTCTTTTCCAGCGCATTCTCATTTTTTCCCCAAAAACCCCTCCTTTCGACCTGACCGGTAGCAGAATGCTAAATAGCCAGATATTACCTTCACCCACAGAGAGAATTCAAATGTGCCCCGTAATTGTGCTAATGCAAAACACCTTCGGCTCTCGAGCACGATGGAGCCGCGCCTGCAGTGCAGAGCCAGCTCACTTCATCCACGCTGAGTAGCTCTCTGACATTTTATGTGAAAATACTCTCTGAAGCTCCAGCATGATGGGGGGGGGGGGGGAGCTCTTATGGGCTCTGCAATGGCCCATGTGCTCGGCGCAACTGGATCGTATTAGTCGGGATGAAACGTTTCATTAAGGAAGAAGTTGCATTGATCATTCTCATTAAGCTCCATGATAGGGCAGCTTATGTTTTATTAATCTGTTAGTTGCTTTTATATGTGTCCCTTTAGAGAGTCCACAACGATTAAGGGGCACACACACGTTCCCAGTGGTGGGCTCACTCTGCCAGCCCTGGGATTTGAACCAGCAACCTTTCAAACCAGTGTGCGCTGTCCTAACCCACTGAGCTTCACAGCACTCCTGGACTTAAGTTCAGTTTGGAAATTGGCACATACAGTATTGTGCACAGGTGATCAAAGATCGAAGATGTTAAAACGACCTTCATGTTAATGTGCAACTATGATTATTATAGTTGTCGAAGTGTGTCAGCTTAACCATTTCAGATCCTCTCCTACAGTCACCCCAATATTTGCCTACAGTCACCCCAATAGTTTGACTTGACCAATAGCATATCCTATTTGGCTAAACAGTACCTCATCTAGTTATTTAACAAATGTAATTAATTGATATTAACTTAATATTAATTTTAATCAAGCTGGTGGTGAATACATTAACAAACACATGGAATGGCTGAGGTGCCCCTGAGGAGAGGTTTGGGAACTAAAGCAGTGTTGTGATACTCTTAATTATACACTCACCTAAAGGATTATTAGGAACACCTGTTCAATTTGTCATTAATGCAATTATCTAATCAACCAATCACATGGGAGTTGCTTCAATGCATTTAGGGGTGTGGTCCTGGTCAAGACAATCTCCTGAACTCCAAACTGAATATCAGAATGGGAAAGAAAGGTGATTTAAGCAATTTTGAGCGTGGCATGGTTGTTGGTGCCAGACGGGCCGGTCTGAGTATTTCACAATCTGCTCAGTTACTGGGATTTTCACACACAACCATTTCTAGGGTTTACAAAGAATGGTGTGCAAAGGGAAAAACATCCAGTATGCGGCAGTCCTGTGGGCGAAAATGCCTTGTTGATGCTAGAGGTCAGAGGAGAATGGGCCGACTGATTCAAGCTGATAGAAGAGCAACTTTGACTGAAATAACCACTCGTTACAACCGAGGTATGCAGCAAAGCATTTGGGAAGCCACAACACGCACAACCTTGAGGCGGATGGGCTACAACAGCAGAAGACCCCACCGGGTACCACTCATCTCCACTACAAATAGGAAAAAGAGGCTACAATTTGCACGAGCTCACCAAAATTGGACAGTTGAAGACTGGAAAAATGTTGCCTGGTCTGATGAGTCTCGATTTCTGTTGAGACATTCAAATGGTAGAGTCATAATTTGGCGTAAACAGAATGAGAACATGGATCCATCATGCCTTGTTACCACTGTGCAGGCTGGTGGTGGTGGTGTAATGGTGTGGGGGATGTTTTCTTGGCACACTTTAGTCCCCTTACTGCCAATTGGGCATCGTTTAAATGCCACGGCCTACCTGAGCATTGTTTCTGACCATGTCCATCCCTTTATGACCACCATGTACCCATCCTCTGATGGCTACTTCCAGCAGGATAATGCACCATGTCACAAAGCTCGAATCATTTCAAATTGGTTTCTTGAACATGACAATGAGTTCACTGTACTAAAATGGCCCCCACAGTCACCAGATCTCAACCCAATAGAGCATCTTTGGGATGTGGTGGAACGGGAGCTTCGTGCCCTGGATGTGCATCCCACAAATCTCCATCAACTGCAAGATGCTATCCTATCAATATGGGCCAACATTTCTAAAGAATGCTTTCAGCACCTTGTTGAATCAATGCCACGTAGAATTAAGGCAGTTCTGAAGGCGAAAGGGGGTCAAACACCGTATTAGTATGGTGTTCCTAATAATCCTTTAGGTGTGTGTATGTTGTAATGTTAATTTTTCTACACTTATTACCTGGGAAAACATTTTCTTTGACTGCCTGAGCCTTTTGCACAGTATTGCAGGTCTGCTAACAGAAATGGACATAGATTATTGACTGATGTCTGTAACTGGAAAAAAAACTGCTGTTAGCCTATTATACCCATGAAGCGATTTACCCTTTCTGAACAAAATACTCCCCCTGGCCAGTTTGTCCATCCGTCCATCTATCCATCCATCCATTATCCAGCAACTTATTGTGAACAGGGTCTCCGGGGTCCTACGATCAATTTGATCATAAAAATGCCCATTAAATTAGAGACTTTCTAAAGATGGGACACAAAAAAATATGCTATTTTTATTTGAGATATACGCTCATGCTATTTTAAAGATAATCCAAATTGCAAAAAAGACAAATCTCTGAGGGAAATAAATCTTACAGATTTATTTATTTATCTTGCAGAAGTGCAGAACACTAAGTGCAGAAGCGCAGTCATTCTTATGAAATAAATAGTTCATAATAAATCTTTAATTAAGAGGAAGTTTTCTGGGTCTATGTTTCCTCCAGCAGCTGCAACATCAGCTCCTCATAGTCACAGACAAGGTTTGATCTCAGAGATGCCAAAATAAGATCAGCGTACGGTAAAATCATCGTCATAAAATTAGAAAAACACTGAACATTAAGACTGAGTCAACATTATGCAGGACAGAATGCATGACAACCGAACTACGGAGCGTAATAAAGCCAGCTGGCTTGGTCTGGTATTTCTGACCGTGTTTACAGGTCACCTCTGTGTCCCCCCCCCACTCTTGTTTAGACTGCATGATCACATGAGAAACACATACAGATGGGCTGTTATTCCTCTGGGTCCTAATCACTACATCCTTCTTCCCTTCCTTCCTTCCTTCCTTCCTTCCTTCCTTCCTTCCTTCCATCCTTCCTTCCCGCACGCCTGCCCTTGTCTCAGTCTTGTTCCTCCCCTGCTGGGGCTGCCATCTGCCTTTGCCATGTCACATCCAATCTCACCTGTGCCCCCCCGACCCGGATTTACCCATTAATAGCCTTATTGAGAGTCTGCCTGTTTGCTTACGGCTACAGTAAGAGGTACGGTGTTTGGAGACGTCGCGCGCTGCGCCTGCCGCGGTGTTTTTCCTGTTACCCATCACTCCCCTCTCTCCTCTTGATTACCTGCACGCACCTGCGTGCTGACAGGCTGTCATTCACCCCTGACTCCCTCCCCGTTGCTGCCGGCACTTCTCATCTTTCATACTGAAATCGGCCCCGATTTCACTGCTGGCCGGGGGAGGCCCGCTCTGTCTCCGCTTTTACCTCGACCCCAAGGTGACGTCACCTTAGATAAAAAGTATAAATACATTTGTGGCAAGAATTATGGAAACACTTCCAGTTTTTAGAGATTGCAGAACTTTGTTCAACTGTTGCTCCAGTTTTAATTGTCCAGTGTGTGATATTTGTAACATTCTTTGATTGTTTATAAACATTACGGGCAATATTCATGAAGTGATTTTTAAAGCCTAATTCCAGAAATGCTAGGCCTTTCCACAATTTTGGCAAATAGTGTATAAGGAGAGATAGATTCCCATGAACTCTGCTCTGCTTACCAGTTACCCCCCCCCTAGGAGAGCGTGGGGCTGGGTGTGGCCGTCGAGGACCCAGCCTGTGTGCTTCTCCGTCTATGGCTGTTAATTGCCTTCTGAGATCATTGTAAGGATCTAGCCCAGGTGTGAAGAGCCAGCCAGTCCAGAAACCTGCAGAGCCCACGCTTCTCTGTGCAAATGGCTGCATAGTGAGTAAACAGGCCACCCCCCCTTTCCAAATTCACACCTAGGGCCTCCCGACACCAGTTGCAGCAGTCGCAGATGATGAAATTTAAGTAGCCTCCAAACATCATACCCATCATGCACTGCAGTAGTTAGCAAATTCCAAAAACATGCTTTTTTAAATTAAATACATGCCTCGACAACATAGTTTGACTACAATTACAAACTATTACATTTCAAAATTGTTTTAAGTATTGTGCCATTTTTTTTGTGTTGTCTCCCACCATAACGAGATTCTATGCATACAAATGTGAGATATAAAAGTAGCATATCACAAATGTTTATAGAATGTATGATATCAGCACCTTAATCCTCACAAATGTTTCTTGGATATGTGACATTTGCAGTCAGAGGAAAGATGTCTTGATGAGGGGGCTCTGAAACAGCTATCCTGCCTACTAGTCTTCTTCTGGTGTCATGTAAGGCCTCAGATACTATGGGTTGGTTCTCTTTGAACTGCTGTTGTCATCTTACTTCTATTTTTAACAAAGATGCCAAATAACTGACATGGATATCAATGCATAAAAGAACATGTGGGCGTTTCTACAATGGTACCAATGGCACATTTTTCTGTTTATAGATCAGTGAGGTAATACTGCACACTAACAGGGGACACAAAAATCCCCTCCCCTCCATGCATTTTTCTGTTTATAGATCAGTGAGGTAATACTGCACACTAACAGGGGACACAAAAATCCCCTCCATGCATTTTTCTTCCTAATACTCGATATTCATCATTTCCCCCTCTCACTTCTCCTGGACCTGAGGCTCATCGCACCACATCCCGCAGGTAAGGCAGCCCTTGTCGGTCGCCCAGAACACCACTGGCAATCATGGCGAAGTCCGAAGCCGATATGTCCTGGAAAATTTAGGAACCAAGACATGGTGATAAGAAATGGCCTCGATTCAGCTGACATGTCAATGGCAGGTTGACATCAACAGAATTAATTCATTAATTGATCATTTTCCAGAATGTTTTCTTGACCGTAGAGCCGGGTGTTTATAAAAATTTCTACATATCATTCTTCAATATACCCAATGAACAGAATGAGCCATTTTGTAAAATCTTTTAAAACACAGTACACTACTGCCTCCGATGACTATACACCATCGGTTTATTGCTGACACAATATGATTAAAACAATAATTGGGTTCAAACTCAGAAGCCTGGCACATTCATTTTTTATTAATAATCCACAGACACTTCAACACTAGATCTTCATCAGCGTGTGTCTGATTTCGGACCTAATTATTGTCAATCTGGCATGTAAAAATGAGACTTTAAAGAGAAGGACCCCTATTTTGTTGGTATTTTCTGCCATACTTCACACAGCGACATCATCCATTCATTTTTCTGTTCTTCGCAGCGGCATTAATATTTTTGTGGTCCCGCTCCAGCAGACGGGTATGGACATGAAAAATGAGCTTGACAGGAGGGCCAGAACCACGGCGCTAATCCTCCCGAGCGCCAAGGGGACGACGTTACCGGAGGCTGAAGGCTTTTTCGCGCTGCCAAAGCGTTACTTAAAAGTTCCGAACGTGAAACCACCAGTGTCAAGGAGAAATGCGCCAAATGCCAGAGAGGCTGTCTGAGCAGAATCTGAAATGCTGGTGAGCTGCTGTATGTATGCATGTGTGTGCATGTGTGTGATATGTGTGTGTGCATGTGTGTGCATGTATGTGTGCATGTATGTGCATGTGTGGGTGCATATGTGTGTGTGTGCATGTGTGTGTGTATGTGGTGTGATAAAAACCTGTTATTTGAACCACTATTATGAACCATTTTTTGGTTCCTACAATCGAAAAACTAAAAATGTCAAAAGTCTTGTATTTGGTTTAGTTACTTATTGTTAATGTTAGGGCTGGGTGGGGATTAAAGAGTGTCATTGTTGGGATGATGATTATGCCCAGAGAAATGAATGGAGAGTCCCCACAAAGATATGAATACCATCATGTGTGTGTATGTGTGTGTGTGAGAGAGAGTGTGTGTTGGTTGTTGTTAGTAAATCACCAAAGTTCAATGTATTTCCCTCCAGGATACATTGAAGTATAGAGAATTAGGTCACATTGACAAATTTGGCCGTGGTTTCAGTAAAGTGGCATTTAGTTTTGAAAATCTCAGGGTTTAAAAATATGTGTGATTAATCTAATGAAAATACTAGGCCACAGATTTCAATGAAATGCACAGAAAAGAGAAGAAAATTAACGAAACGGGATAAAAAATGCTGTTTGTCAGTCTATCCACATTCCTGTTAGTGATGTTGCATGTTAACACTGACCATCCCTCCTGAGTTACTTTTTCAAACCACTAAAAACTCAATTTGCTGCAAAAACATGATTTTTAAATGCAAATCTGCCTATGCACAAGAAATCGTGATGTGCAGTAATTATTGTCAATATTGTCAATCATGTCACTGCCTCATGAATGTTACGTTATACTTGCTCTCGTCATCCACATGTATAGTTTGACTTCACAAGTTAAGTATCCATTTCATTTCACTTCATTTTTGTTTGTATAGTGCATTTTCACATTACATCGTCCCAAAGCCCTTTACATGATCCCCGCCCAAAGCCCCCAGGGAGGAAGCCAGAGGCGACAGCGGCAAGAAAATCTCCCTATAAAGAAGAAACCTTGCAGAACCTGCAGCCTGACACAGACATTACTACTGAATTTGTCCACCTGTTTCCAGGTTCTGACAAATTCTCTATACATTTTTAGTTTAGCAAATATTTTTAGCCAAAAGTGGCACAGATTTGAGGAAGTGAGGTCAGCCAATCCCTGGAGTCATTGGGGTTAAGGGCTCTGCTCAGGGACCCATCAGCAAAATCACTCTGCCGACTCTGGGATTTGAGCTGGTGACCTTCATGATTACAGGCACAGCCTTGAGTTGCAGAGCCACATACTGCCCACAGCAGCATATTCCAGTGTTATCAAATTTACAAAGGAACTTCACTGACTTCGCTACTATGGCTTGGAATAAAACATTTAGGTGTGGTTAAGAAAGGACTGTAAAGGGTAAAATGGAAGAGACAGAAAAAGACGACGTGGCTGAGGATCACTGTACAAGAAACCGAGCTGAAACAACCAACATCTGAGGCAGTATGTGAACTGGGGACCTCTGTGGTCAGAGTCGTTTGCTGGAGTCTGCAAAACTCACCCTGGGGGGATGGAGAGCAGAAGGTGGGACTGCACCCTGCGGATGTTTTTTTGTTGTTCTTGTTGTTTTTCGTGGACTATCCAACTGTATAAAATCTAAATATACCACATGCATGTGCTATACAGGAGGCTCTGTTACACACACACTAACACTTGCCATTCACATAGACCCTTAATGTGACGCAGTAACAGAGACGCAAAACATGAGGAACATCACATTAAAACAGACAGGATGTTCACTCTCAATGATCCTACACGATTTATGTGCCAATTACCAGTTTGTCTGCCAGCCTTACAAACAGAGTGGCTGTAAAGTATTATCATGCATCACGTTACGGGAAGGGACTGGCATTTCTGTGTCAGGCTTCAAAGCGAGGGTCTAAACCTCACAACTGATGGTGACTCAGCCCAAAGTAATGTTTTAATCAGCTGGCAAACATTTGCTCATGTGGGCTGCACCCATAAACAATGAAGAAAAAAAAAAAACAGTAACATGCCAACAAGGCAATTTGTCCATCCATAATAAGTGCACAGTGGTGTTAGCTATGGTTATCTTTCCCAGGAATGGTGAAGACATTGTATCAACCAAATCGCAGATTACAATCAGCTGATGATGGCAGCCATGGTGTTTCGATGATGAGATTTGTGTCCTTGTCAGGCATTAGCTTTGCCAAGTTGCGCAAGGGGCCTCGATGGTATGAAGACATTGCAATGCAAGTATATGTACATTTACATTGCATTTATTTATTTTACAGATACCTGTGCAGCAGACAATACATCACAGGCAGAGAGCTGTCACAGAGCCAACTGGGTATAAGTGTAGCTAGATTGAGCTTCCAGTGAGAGACCAATAACCAATGGAAGTTAGCTTGAGCTTCCAGTGAGAGACCAATAACCAATGGAAGTTAGCATCGGGGCTCTACAGTGCATTATGAAACATATCGAGAAGCATACAGGAGAGCTACTGAACTCAAAAACACCATGAGGACCAGGTTCCTATGAGACAACAGCATCTCGTGTTGACTAGAGAGCATGTCCAAGAGATACCCAGTGAAGACGGAGCTGGTTAGTGGTTGGAGCAGCTAATTGAGGCTTTCTGGAAAACATGGGTCTTTAGCAAGGGCATAAATTTGGGTGTGGATGATAGGGACACGACCCTACCAGTATAGTGGGAGTACCACGTGTGTTTAGGACGATGCCGGTTTCTGGTCCCACCCAATGTTGAAATCAAACCTACGCCATTGGTCTTGAGATGCTTCTTGGATGACTACAGTAATTAGATGTAGATAGGGTAGCTTGTTCCAACATTGTACAACCACACACGACAAACACATAGAGTTACATGTATTGTACATGTAATATTTGGAGGATCCCCAGGCAGAATTGGCTTGCTGACCAAAGAAGGCAAGACCAGATGCAGGCAGGTGCCCTTCCGTTAACATCCCTGAAAGCCAGCACCAAGGATTTTAACTTGATGCAAGCACCTATAGCGAACCAATGAAGAGAGACAAGGAGGGGTGCAACATGAGAGCATTTTGGCTGACTGAATACCGGATCTGCTGTTGCATTTTTAATAATGTACGGCAAATTTAATAAAGCACACGTTAGTAGCCCTCAGTAAAGAGTTGCAGTACTCTAAATGACAAGTGCCTAGATGAAGCTGAGATACATACTCTGATGAACAAGGCATGGTTTTTCTGATGTTATACAGAGTGAATCTACAAGACCAGGAGATATGCAATATTGTCAGCAAAGAATAGCTGGCCATCTATTATTACCCCTGGGTTTCTGGCAGACCCTGATGAAGACCATGTTGATGATGTAAGCTGTACAGTGACGTTAACAGTAGGGATGGCAGAGAAGACCAGAAGCTCGGCCTTTGAGATGTTCAGCTGGAAGAGATAATCCAGGCTGCAGTGTGGACCAGGCATGCAGAGATCCCAGCAGGGGCATGTTGTCCTTAGGAGAGAAGGTCATATAGATTTGAATGTTGTCAGAATAGTAGTAATAGGTGAAGTCATGTGACTGGATGATCTTACCTAGAGAGGAGCAGAACAAGGACTAAACCTTGAGGCATCCAAGCTGATATCCGCTGTGACCTTTGGGACACAGAAGTTCTCCAGACGTTATATATGCCTCAGGCCGCTATGGCTGGAATTTCACATCTGCCAAAAGAAAAGAGTTGCGTAAAAAAGAGCCAATTAATAACATAACAACGGAAGATGCATCACAAAAAGAAGCCATTCTGACCATTCCAATATTTAACTAATGATAACATTTTATTTTGCTTTGAAAAATCACATTATGATTATAATAAATATACTAAATTAAAGGTGGGAACACAAAAGATTGATCTTTCCTTCTGTGTTCTTCACAGCTTCTTCACAACAGGCTATGAGACGCAGGGATTAGATATTTTTTTAAGCATAGAAGAAAATGGGTGGGAATGCCTTATTTTGTGCCCCAGTTCAGTGCTTTCATGTTGGCTGCTACAGGTTAGAAACCAAAGATCCACTTACCTCAATGTCCGCATAAATTTACTGTTTTTAGCTTCGATTTCCATTGCAACTTTTTTTGAAGGGAACAGGAGGTTATTTTCACATTCAAATAAAAGAAGTACATTCAATTTAAAGACAGTGCTTAGTGAGAGTTGACACATTTAAAGAAAGTAGTCGCTTCCACTAGGGCGGTGCTTTAAAAAAAAAAAAAAGCGTGTGGAGTTTTACAAAAACATAGGCCAGGGACTAAATTACTGCTGCTGATTATTAATTGAATTATAATGGAAGGCAAGGCTGGGGTGACATGGTAGCTCAGTCTCTCCGCTCTGCATGTGGCACTCGTACGTGTGTCATGTGGGTTTGAATCCCGCCTCTGCTCTGCATGTGGCGTTCGTACGTGTGTCATGTGGGTTTGAATCCNTCGTACGTGTGTCATGTGGGTTTGAATCCCGCCTCTGCTCTGCATGTGGCGTTCGTACGTGTGTCATGTGGGTTTGAATCCTACCTCTGCTCTGCATGTGGAGTTCGTACGTGTGTCATGTGGGTTTGAATCCTACCTCTGCTCTGCATGTGGAGTTTGTACGTGTGTCATGTGGGTTTGAAGCCCACCTCTGCTCTGCATGTGGCGTTCGTACGTGTGTCATGTGGGTTTGAATCCCACCTCCGCTCTGCATGTGGAGTTTGTATGCTCTTCCTGTGTCACATGGGTTTGAATCCCACCTCTGCTCTGCATGTGTCGTTCGTACGTGTGTCATGTGGGTTTGAATGCCGCCTCCGCTCTGCGTGTGGAGTTTGTATGCTCTTCCTGCATGACATGGGTTTGAATCCCACCTCTGCTCTGCGTGTGGAGTTTGTATGCTCTTCCCACTGCAAGTCAAAGATGTAGTTAAGCTAATTAGTATCTCTAAATCAGCTCTAATGTATATTCCGTGATGGACAGGTATTCCATTCAGGGTGTGCACCTGCCCTGTGCTGCCTGGGATAGACTCTAATGCTCCTTTGTGACTCTGACCAGGATAAGTAGGTATTGGATGGAAATTAAGCCTTAAAGCTTTTTCTTTTACGTGTTTTATGCAAGGAAGAATGGAAAAGGACATTCAGGGAGGAAAGATTGTGGGAGCTGATCTGAGAACAGGCTCTGGCACCGCCCCCCCACTCACACTCCTGCCCTCCCAGTACCAGGTTTCCCCGCCCACTCCTCCAGAGGACAGGCAAAAGGAGACTGGGAGGAAGGGAGAGGACAGGGGAGAAACTGTAGCACAAAGAGGGCTAATATTTCACTCCAGCTCTGAGAAGGAGACAGGCGAGGGGGGGGGGAGGGGAGAGAGAAAGGTGGGACTTCAACCTATGGATGTTTTTTTTTTTTTTCTTTTTGTGGACCGACTATCCAACTGTGTAAACTCTGAACAAAAATAACAGCCACAAGCCTGTCAGAGAGAGAGAAAGGAACAGATGCACAGACAGTCACAAGTTTATATATGCAGCGGGCAATGAGGAAGCAGCAGTCTCTGCTGTGTGAATGAATCGCCAAGCAGGGCGAGCATCTGACAGACGCACACGGACACACAGCCGGCACGCTGCACGTGCACGTGTGTGTGTGTGTGCGCACGCCTTCGCCTCATGCATGGACGACACTGGATTATGTGAGAACTGATTCAGAAACTGTGGATTGTAGGGTGCAGATTGAGAACAGCCCAGAACCAGTAAACAGTAAGTATCTTTTAAAACCCTGGCAGCTACTGTCATTTCTGAATAATTTTGGGCATACTGCAGACTGCGGATATCTCCATTTGATGACAGATTCCCTTTCAAAGATATAGCATGTATTTGATCATTTATGCAGTTACATTATTGTGCAAAAAAATATCTAGTTGTAAGAAAATACACCATGTTAATGATTTTTTTTTTCTTACAGGAAATACGGCGGAGAGGATTACAAACATGGAATGAGCCATGCTCTGAGTGTGAGGTGAGAATAATAAGATTAAAAGTTCAATGGTTTGTTTTGGATTATGCCTGACCAAAGCTGAAAGGGTCTTGCTATTTCAAAGCCGTGTGTCCTTTGGGTGGCGTTAGCCTTTAAAAAAAAAAAAACCTATCCATTAGACATCAATAAAAATGGAAACAGCTCATTACACATTCACACACATGCACAGATCTTTATCTGACAGAAGCTCATTCATCTTCATGATTATTCTGACTAATGTTTTTTTTCCCCACTTGATTGATGTTCACCGTTCACAAGGTGAAAAGCAGTTCTTGTCTTTTAATATTGACAGAGTGAAAGGCACTAAAAATAAATATGAGGAAAAAGAAAAATATCAAGGACTTAACTTTGACCCCTGATGAGCGTACAACATGTGCTGAGTTACGGACCAGCATGGAGAGCTGAATATTTTCTTTCGTACATTAAGAAATTGAAGTTTTATCCTCATGTGATAATTCAAGTGTTATTTTACTAAAAACGACTGGTACTTGAATATGCTTGTATTTACAGAATATTAGTAGTTGCCTGTTTTTTTTTTTTACTCTTCAGGCATACATATGGCATATGTGAGGTGTAGAGGGTGAGGAGATGTTGTGTAACTGCTTCAAAATACACCAAAAATAAAGACACTTATTCTGGACTATCAGATAACAGCACACCTCCATATTTAGCAAAAAGCACCATATAAAACATAACAGCACTAAAACAATTGCACCATTTTTTCAAGTATAGTTAATTCTGCCATGAAGGCATTACATCATTGTAACACATTTTGTTCATGATCCCTGCGTGACAGGTCCTGTTTTCACTGGTACGGTTAATGTGTCTTTAACTTGAGGGGATAAATAGCAAGAGAAAATTAACTTTTGTGAGGAAGAGAGAAAAATGGTAGGATCAAAATGATTACTGTAAAAGGGGCAAGGCAAGAAACATCTGGATACCTGACAGGTCGAGTAAAAGAAGGAGCGTGTATACCTACTGATGACTTGGGGCACGTAATTCCTCTGAAACGGATCTGTTCATATCCGAAAACTTAAGTCAAAGTGCATCTTGGGCTAGTGAGGATGTTAAAGATACAACAAATGGAAAACTGGTTTGGAAGCCCGTCGAATGCCAGCATGTGACATCCTGAAAAAAATAGCCCGCAGCCCAAACACCCCGGATGAGAGCAATACCAACTCGAGAAAATAAACCACGAATAAATAAGTGAAATTTTCTTTTAAACCCAAGCCAGGAGTTAGAAGGACAGAGGGAGAGTAGGAGAAATAAACAGGGACACAAATAACATAAAGAGATTTATTCCCGCTGTTTAATTTTAATTTCAGTCGGCAATTATAAAATCGAATGTGAGGGTGTCTTGATAATCTTCCCGGAGGTGAGAAATGTATCGAGTTTATGTTTAGGCCGGCGATCAAGAGCAGTTTGCTCGCATTGACGTCCACATGGAGCTCAGGTGTGTATTTACGGACAAACACCGGCGATCGCGGGCAGGCTTACGGAGACTGTGATCGGTACCGGAATAACGAGATGATCAATGACACATTCAGCAGCAGAGGTGTGTAAATACCAGCCGTATGTCTCTTTACAGCAAGCGATCGCGGTGTCCATTAATAAGTTAAAGTTTGGGTGGGAGGGGGGAACAGCTCCGCATCTTCCCTAATGTTATTCAAGTACTTTGTAAATCCATATCATTGAGTGCTAATTTTTTATAGTGTGGACCGTAATGCATAAACGCATCAAGGTGTCCGATCTGCGGGTGTTAATGTTGTTTTTCTTTGCTGCTGTCCGTGCAGAAAAAACGCTCTTTCCAGGAACCGGATGAGCGAATGGGGGACGGGGCAGCCGAGGCCTTTGTACCGCGGATCTCGGCAGGCGGCGCTATTAGGGGGCTGACAAAATCAACAGGATGTGCCGGCCGACCTTGCCGGCACGACGCCGTTAATTGGGGTGCAAATTAGTCCATTAGATCGACTGTCTTGCGCTACCTGGTCCTTATTTTCTCTCCACAAGCGGATGTATGGTCTGACTCATATTACACTGCCGACCTCCGACCGTCATTTGCTTCATGCGTGAGAGCTGTTTTTGTTTGCTGAACTTCAAACCCCCATCAGTCCCCCACTTCGCATTTGTGATCATGAGCTGCTTCTGATTGTAAATGACAGCCATCCACTTTTATTTCTTAATTCTCTCACTCCATCTGAGTGCAGTCATGGTGCTAATTCTGTTGGGGGGGGGGGAAACAAAGCTGTTTTGGAGCTGGAAGGACTGGAAAGCTATGAAAAGGAAAAGAATGTGAATCATAGTATTACATATTTTATATGGAGAAAGTGCAGCTTTTATGTTCAAAAAACAGCACAGGCTTCAAGCTGTTAGGAAGTCTGCGAGTTATATGTGTAGGCCCTGCAGTGAAAACCAAAACAGAAAAGGAGGATTCTGTTAGAAAAACCACTCAAATGGAGAGAAACTGGGCATAAGAGAAATAATCATTCATATAAATCTAAGGATTCTGTCGTTTTTATATGGCTGAAGGCTAAGGCTGGTTTACTAACATTATTTATGTGATGCCATCAATGGACTTATTGCTGTTGAACTGGAAGGAGGGAGAGTTTAAAGGTTGTGTTGTCTGAAATGGATTCTGAAATGTATTTCCAGGTCCCTGGAAGCCATACGCAGACAATTATTTCAGAAGCGCACTTGGAGAGATAACTGTGCTGGGTTGTGTTTTTGAGAGAACAAGTACAGGTGCCCTTGAGAATTTAGAGAGAGCAGAGGATGAGGGATTGACCCCCCTCCCCCCACCCACTCCACAAATCTCTCCTATGACAACAGCAGTGTTGTTTTGCTGTTGGGGAAACGCAAGAGCCAACAGTATAACGTCGGGTAAACATTGTGACATGTGTTGTCTCAGAATGGTGGTATGTTTGATTGCAGTCCAACTTCCCATTTTTCTGTTCATTTCTTTGCTTTGACTCTTAAGGTAATTGACTCTCTCCTTTAGCTATTTACCGGGATTTTAGGCAGTGCAGTATTCTGCATGTGGGTGCAACAGCCAGGGCTTGAAACTGTAACACATAACCACCCTACCCTAGATTGTTTTTGGCATTCTACATGTTTTATTTATTTACAGTAGCTGACAGTTTTGTTCAAGCAACATACACTGGAGAAAGCAGGGCCTGTACTGGGAGCAATTGGGGGTTAAGGGCCTTGCTCAAGGGTCCAATGGTGAAATCACTCAACCGACCCTGGGATGTGAACCAGCAACCTTCTGGTCATAGATATAGCATCCTAACCCAGTAAGCCACACTCCACCCCTGCCACTGTTCTCTCCACCAAATACCCAGAATGTGCCTGGTGTGAGCTGCATGGCACACAGTAATTCCGCAGATGTTTCGGTGCCAGTCCTGGATCATCACTGTCGAGTTTTGTCTGGAGCTCGGTGCAGATGATGCCCAATAAAGTTGCTTGAAGCAGTGGATTTGTCTTCCTGCGACTCTCCAGCCATCCCCGTGACACAGAGCTGGCCTCACACGCCGTGCTGTGAATGGTGTCACCCCTGTGGTCTAGATTCTGATTGACGGCTTGACTTTAGGTATGAGTCATGGCCTCCGTCCTGGCAACAGAATGCGAGGCAGGGAGACGGGTCCCACATGGAAGACATGAACAGTGAGGAACACTCAGAAGAAAGGGCCCCGTCCTGAAGCCAAAGGACCACCTGTTTTCCCTGCCTGTCTGCACGGAGTGAGACTGTGGGTATTAAATACACAATAGTCTGGGATTTGTGGAGGTAGGAGGGGTACAGGACAGGATCACAGACTGCGAGACCAGTCCCTTCATCCATCCTTTTTCTGTACCCGCATGTCCTATGCAGTGTCATGGTAGTGTGGAGTCTATAGGTTTGAGTCAGTGATACAAACACATGAGAATTACACTGCCTTTGCTTAAATAAATGCACGGTTATGGGATAGTGACGAGGGATCAAAGTCTGTGATGACACTGGGGGCGGTGTGTATTGGGCTGGGATGCTGTGACTGTGATCGTAAAGTTGTTGGTTCAAATCCCTGGGTCAGCAGAGTGATTTCACCATTGGGCCCCTGGGCAAGGTCCTGAACCCTAATTGCTCCAGAGACTGTGTGACCCCACTTTCTCAGAAAAACAAATGTACATTGCTATGGATAAAAGCATCTGCTAAAGAGATTAAGTTAAAACAGACAGGACCCCAAACGGGCTGACGAAAACTCATCTATGTAGTGACCACACTCTTTCTCATTTCGAATGGTGGCGGCAAATATATTAGTAACTAGTTTCGTTGATCAGAAAGTGGAATCCGCTTAGTGTCCATGGGAAATTTCCTGAAACGTGTGAAGAAAAACACCTCAGTTGATGTTCCAGGTGCAAAGGCACAGGTGCCAGCAAAACTGCCACTGTTATGGCTGCCGTAGGAAAAAAGCATTATCACTCAAGCTGACTTTGTGGATTACTTCTGCCCCAGCAACTCTGTCTGTCGTGCTAGAGTTTCACAAGAAAACACTGGGAGAACATTTAGTTTTGGAGAAATGGGTGTGAAGCCAGATTTAAAAAAAAAAAGACACACAGGCAGTGGGGATGTAGAGCATAGAGGGATTCGCACACACACAGTTACCCAAAGAAGGAAAGCGTTGAGAATGCAGGGTCAGCCAGTCCCTGGGGAAACTGGGAGTTAATGGTCTTGCTCAGGGGGCGAATGTCGAGAGAACTCTGTCATATGTGGGATTTAAACCAGTAACGTCCAATCACAGGCACAGCATCCTAACCCACTGAGCCACACATTTACAAGAACATTCTGTTACAACTGACACCATTAAATGATACAGTAACATTTTTTGAGGTGCGTTTTCCTTCACCGAATGGATACTGCAGTCAGCTCAGGTTCACTGTGACAAGTGGTATGTTTAATAATTGGTACTGACAGCTCAAAACCGTGATGTTCTGCATGCTCCATGGCCCGGATATGCTGGTGATCTAGCGAATCATCAGAATCATCCGGAAAAATCCATAAATGCCATGAGAAAGGAATGCAATGATGCAGATTTGCACAACTTTCAGACAGATGGAAACAGGAAGATGATGTGGCATGGAAAGAGAATCCCTAATTGTCAAGCAGCAAGTGGAGACACGGACCTGGTTTTTACATGTAAATAAACAGATGTATTGAAACCTGATTGTAAATACGCAGCTGGTCACTGCAACGTATGGCACTCAACAGGACTGGTGCAAAGGCACATATTTGGATGTTGCCCGCCGCCACTCTGAACCAGTCGATTTTCCTTTGAGGTTCTCTCTCATTTCCCCTGTGTGTAATATCTGTTTTAAGGATTTATGGCTGATATGTTTACATGCCATTTTTAAGCCTCTCTTTGGTGACGTGCTGCGCCCGTGCATGCTTTCAGAAAGTCATCAGTGGAATTGCCAACGCAAGGTTTTTCACGTCTGTCACTTTGTCACGGCTCATGACCTTGCCGTCACTGCTTATGTAACCCAGTCTGCTACTGGTTACGAGGTGTTTTTTTTTCATTACTGTGGACTCATTTGGAAAAGTGGAAAAAAAGCTCTCTGCGATGGGTTTGGAGCCCCGTCGTGAGTTATTCATGATTTGCGGCTGTGGCTTCTGTGATAGGCTCCAGACCCATATGACCCTGCATAGTACAAGTAGCCATAAAGGATGGATGGATGGAAATAAAGCTTTTGTCATCACTCTAATGAGGACAGTTTATAAAACAGTGAAAGGGGGCAGATAAGGGAGAAGAAAGAGAATGGGGTTGAGGCAGAGGAGAAGAGTGGGGATTAGATCCAGAATATTGCTCAATGGGCAGGGATCTGCATCTGGCTTCAGAAGGTTGTGGGTCTGAATCCTGTGTTCAGCCAAGAAATCATATTACTGCTAGGTTCCTGAGCAATGTTCTTTGACCTGCCTGCTCAAGAGACACTAGCTGGTCCTTTGCACAACAGCATCTTCAAGATAATTGTAAAGTTTGGAAGAGGCTCAAATCTGGAAATATGAAAAGCAGCATGAAGAGATGATTTTGCAGAAGAGGGGCGATGCGTGGCTCAGTGGGCTGGAGCCCAGGCCTCAGCAGGGCTGCCCTGTGTTCATCTCTGAGCGCTGTCAGTAGGTGGCTGACCTTTAACCCCCTACTCACCTTGCCTTGCAGAGGTGCTCGGACCCAGTCATCTGGCCATAATGATTTGGCCTTTGTCAGAGTCACTCAGATCTTTATCCCTACTCACTTCTTCTGCATTCATTATGTTGACTATGAGTACCGAATGTTGGCTTGCCATCTAATATATCCCAGACCTTAAGCATGAGCAGTTCTCATGGGGGGACCAGGGGGGCAGTGCCCCCCCTAAAAACATTTGCTACTTGGGTCTGAAATAAATGTACTGTTGTTATTATTATTATTACTACTACTACTACTACTACTAATAATAATAATAATAATAATAATAATTATTATTATTATTATTATTATCATTTATTAACATTTATATATGTGGGCTAATATTGTGTGCCCTGGGAACAGGTGAAACAAACATAAGTACATTTTCTTGACGGGGGTGCGCCAGGTGGCATTGTGGGGACCATTTTTTTCTGTCCCCACAAGAGGAAATTCAGTTTTATAAAAATCTTTGACTGCAATCAAAAGAAAAAAAAATGCCAAAAGCCAACAAAAATTTTGTTTGGTTACTTATGGTTAAAGTAATCATTTTTTGATTTTGGTTTTTCCCAGAGAAATAAATGGATGGTCCCCTCAAAGATATGAGTACAGGTCTGTGTGTGTGTTTCTCTCAAAGAAGAGCGTGATGAGATATGCAACAAAAAGCATTCTGTACTTGTGCAAATGGCAAATAAAGCTTTTCATTTCAGAGTATTGTGCAAGACACATACAAAGTGCCCTACATACGGCAGCTGTGCTTAGTAGAATTAACATATTTAAAAACGTCTCTTAACAAACCTGCCCCAGCCAATACACTTACCAGTGTCGCAGATAAACAAGAACACACCTGTAGGCTAGATGACAGATGCAAAATTAAATTCTCCCGGTGCTTCACCTAAGCCCATGTGGCACAGCCCTTTATCATTACAGGAACCCATTAGACTGCAGGAAAGAGAGAGAGTGAGATTGACTGATTATCACTCTAGGACTCAGGCTCAGCTCCAATGGGAGAGCCAGGATGGACCTTGAGTCCCACCCACCCCAAACCTGGCCAAATGCCAACCAATCAGTGACTTGGGATTTTTTTTATTATTTTGAAGATGACTCTTACAGTCAAACATCTCGGCCCCTCAAGAGATTCCTGGGCATCTTAAAGTTGGACCAGGGCCCAATTGTAAATAGCAGGTCATTTTCCTAGATTGCATGACAGCTTAGCATCTCTTGTTTTGGAGGGTCCCATTTTCACAATCACAACAGGGAGAACAATATCCTTCTTCCAATTCAGCAACAACATCTGCTTTTCATCAAACATAATTTCAAAGGCAGACGCTCTGTAGTGTTCTCCTGCAAGCCACCATTAATGTTTGTTGTTTCCCTGGGCCTATTTATGGATTGCAAATGGTGTCATTGTGCAGGCATGGCGGCTCTCTCTTGGGAATCCGATTGGGACGGACCGAATCGCTCCACTTGGGCGGACGGAAGCGGAAACCTCACTCCTCCCATATTTCCAGACTTCAACCTAAGCAGCACCTATGGAGGCGGGTCCTTTTTCTGGATTGTCCAAGAGAATGCCACGGTTACCGCTGGACCCACATCGCACGCCGCCCCGGCGCCCAGGGTGCGAGACATGGCCCTGGCCCGGGCCGAGATCACGGTCCTGGGGCTCATCCTAGCTCTGACAGCCCTGGGAAACGGGTTTGTGCTGTGGGTGCTCCTGAGGAGGAGGAAACATCACGCGCCCATGCACCTCTTCATGGTCAACCTCTGCGTGGCTGACCTGGTGGTGGCCTTATTCCAGGTAAACACCACCGAGCCCCTGTCAGTGCTGTTCCTAGTCCTCTAGTTCTTGCATGGTCAGATGCAGACCTGGGGTCTCAAACTCAAATAACCTGGGGGCCACTGGCATCGAGGTCTTCGAGTGAAGCAGGTCACTTCAGGTTTTGATTTCAGAAAAATTTGGCGATTAGTGGGATGACGTTACAAATTTAATAGGGATTAAAAAAACACACCTGTCTTGCAGGCCAGTACTCTGAGACCCCTGATGTAGACTGACCATCCTCTTTCTGAGAGTAACACTGTGTGGGTGCGAGACGTGCATCCTAAAGATGCTTTAATGATATGGGGAAGGCCAAGGGTGACCCAGGAGCATGTGTAACACTGCCACTGCATTTGATTGCATTGTGGTTGATCTGTCTCAAATATCAGAGCATGTGAGGGAGCAGACAGCGTTTTTAAAATGTAGTTAATGGTTGACTAGTAGAACTCAAGTCCAAATTCCATACATCCATCTATATTCTGACTACATCTCCTATTAGGGTGGCTGGTCAGCTTCAAATTCAGGAAGCTAAGGTCCAGAATTCGCAAAAAAATAAAGACTGAAAAGCAGTAATCTGTCACTGATGTAATACAGCTCTTACTGTTCTTTTTCAATCTGTAATCCTAACTGCTTAATGGTGACAATGATGCTGTAACATCAGACCAGTTACAAACTGATGTTGGGCATGCTCACGTTGTGCTTTGGACCAATGGGGTCTACACTTTATATTTCATCAACCCTCGGGTGACATGCGCCAGATGCTGAGATTATTTTATGTGCCGTCATCTTCTCCAGGTGCTGCCTCAGTTGCTTTGGGACATAACGGAGCGGTTCCAAGGTCCCGATGCTCTGTGCCGCTCTGTGAAGTACCTGCAAATTGTGGGCATGTTTGCATCCTCCTACATGATTGTGGCCATGACCGTTGATCGGCACTACGCTATCTGCTGCCCCCTGCAGGCCTACCGCGGTGGGGTAACGTCTCGTTGGAACACCCCCGTCATGGTGGCTTGGGGGCTAGCACTGCTGTTCAGCGTGCCTCAGGTGAGGAGTAACAGTTTGTCTTAGCTTTGTCCTCTTGTAGGTCACGACCCAGCTTCTCAGCAAACAGTCATAAACAGTGTAGTTATCATGAGTACCATCTATGACTTGATTCATATTCTCTAGTTGGGAGATAATGATGACAAAGGAACCAAGTGCTTCAGTGACCCAACTGATTCTCCTTCTCATAGGTGTTCATCTTTTCCATGTCAGAAGTGTCTCCTGGAGTGTTTGAGTGTTGGGGACACTTTGCAGAGTCCTGGGGACTAAAGGCCTATGTCACCTGGGTGACCGTGGCTGTCTTTGTCCTGCCTGCATTCATCATCACCATCTGTCAGGTACCATAATGCTCCTGAAATCACAAAACCTCCAGAACCTTGCTGTCCATCCTGTTAGTTGCCTCAGTATCTTTCCTCAAAGGGGTGTTAAACTGGATAGGCCAATATGAAACATCTGGATATCCAGATGTTCAGCAGGACCAGCTGCGTGTCCCACATCATGTTGATGCATGAACTAGGCAGCTCTTACATGGGTCACTCAAATGAACGACTCTCACCAAGCCCCCTCCCCTTCCGTATAGGTGCGGATATTCCGAGAGATCCATGACAACATCTACCTTAAGTCAGAGAGAACGATGACCGTGGAGTATAGGCGGAGCTCTGTCCTCTTCCATGTCCGGAAGCTTCAGCAGGATGGAAAGAACAATAGGAGGGGCAGAGTGGGTCGAAGCGTGCGCTCATTACAGAAGAACAACAATTCCCTGTGCTCTTGTTGCAATGTGGCAATGGAGAGTCTCTCCAACCAACCCCTACCGCCACAGGAGCTTCCAAATTCTTGTGACGAGACGTCTTCTTTCAACGACCTTCCTTGGAGGCCCTCGGATCACTGCCCTACAAGCCATGACCACAGCTCTCTTTGTCCCGTGTTTATGACCTCTTGCACGGACGATGATCCCAGTACCCACCAGAACCACATCTCACCTCCAGATTCCACCCTACATAACAGTTCCTCACAACCCACCAATTCCCATGAAATCCATACTGCATCCAACACCCAATCAATTACAAACCCGTCCACACACTCGCCTCTCCCGCCAGCCCTGCCCCCCCCTGGAGTATCGAAGGCCATGTCCAAGACGGTCCGAATGACACTGGTGATCGTGCTGGTCTACACAGTCTGCTGGTCCCCATTCTTCATCGTGCAGTTGTGGGCCGCTTGGGACCCCAACCCGCCAGACCAAGGTGAGGCTTCTGATCTCTTTATTATTGCCATCTTTTTTTAATGACCATTTTAATGAGGACACCTCAGGGTTCTCCTTCATAACCCTCATTTCTCTGGGGGACTGACATTACATCTCGCACCTTTTGAAGAAATGTGTAGTACGTGCCGCCATCATTATGAGTGTTTTGGGTCTTCGGTGGTGCCTAAACAGCCTGGAGTGATACGCTGCAGAAAGGCAGCTGGCTAATTACCCGAACCGTTATTAAGCGCACAGCTGGGTGAAGCGCCGTTTGGGAGATGAGAACAAAGAAGAAAATGACTTATTTTGCATGCGACTGCACCATGCTCATGAAGTCCCATTTCTCTGAAAGTGAATATAAATTGGCGACTTGAAAACAACGAGCGCTGCCATTAATCTGCCATTAAAACAGTGAAGTACATTTAGCACACGGTCATTGTTGGATTGTATATGTGGCATGTTAAATACAGTAAAGGGCACCAAAGTGTTTCCACATCAGCAACGCATGTGGCTGAACTATGAGAGGCATTTTAAGGATGCAAACAGGCAAACACGACGTCCCTCCGCGTTTGGTATTTACAGGACTCATTTATTCCATCTTCTGCAATTAGAGTATTCAAAGTGTACAACAGATATGTTTGTTTTGATTTCGATCTGGTCAGAACACCAAAACAAGTCGTAAAGCTCGAAACCTCGCCTCAGGAATACAATTATCTTACAGACATGTGTTTTCTTACAAGAGGTCATATAATAGATCGGTTGGTAAACATTCATTTAATTTATTCAGCAGACACTTTCACAGTAGTTTCAGCCTGAATATTACACCACCCCAATTGTAAGGTGATCCCTCACTTTTTCGGCAACTATTTTGGGGGAAAGGTTTTTGGAATACCAAGTCCTACCTTTATGAAGAAAAATAATTTTATTTGGCAAGAACAGAAAAGAAGTTAGCCATCTCAGTTAAAAAGCAACCGAAGGCAATCGCATTGCATTAAGTCTATTAAACGACAAACTTTCCAGAAAACAAATGCATTATTTGGTGGGGGTGGATAGCCAGTCAATATTACAAACTCCTCAATGCTAGAGGGAGCAGAATGTCTTTGATGCAGCTGACTCGCATAAAAAGCACAAAACACATATTGTGGCAAGTGGGTGAGTCATTTTAATAAAGGTGATGATTGCTCTTTTAAAACGAAAGTTACTCTATTAATTAACACTCACGGCTACATGCTAACCAAACACGCATTCCACGGTAAACATTACGCGGTTACTCCATTTACCACTGACATAAATACACAAATACACATATTAATTTGCTCTATTTAAACATACGCATGATGTGGTGCAAAGCATGCTAGCAATTGCATAATTACTAGCATAACATTATGTCAGCCAATAGTGGACAGTGGGTGAGATCAGAACAAAGGAAAAAATTTCGCCTTGGGGATCCTGAACAGGCAAAGTGCCGAAATGACGATCAGGTCTCATCCAACGTCAATTACGTTTGAAATGTACAGCCAGGAGGCCGATAATTCACACCATCTACTCTTGTATGTACATTATGACATTTACATTCTAGTCCTCGAATATTCGATGACCACAGTTTTTTAGATGAAATAAAAAAAATATATATTTGAGCTAATGTGGTGCACAGAATCTATCTATTATTAGCAAAATTCATCTCCATGGTTATCCTTAAGTCAAAAAAAATATGAAAATCCATCTACCTGGAGTTGAGAAAGCATCGAAATCGTGTTCTGAACGGTGAAGGGCTTCGGAAGACGGCGGTGCTGGGAATATTGGGCATTTGTGCAGCAGGTTAGCATCCGCAGGTTGAAGCAGGCCTTAGGGGCACATCTGTCCGGCCGGGCCGAAGGCCTCCAAGCGGGCTGCGTAGAAGGGAAAGACAAAACCGGCTCTGCAGGCCCGATAGCTGCCAAAACAAGGAGGCGAATTATCCAAAGCATGAGAGTGCTGGCCAGTCCCATGTCACCAGCTAACAGCTCTCATTTATAGCTTAATGACAGCAGCTTTAGAATTTATCATTTTTAAATATCACAATGACATAATTACTATTTTGCCACTTAGTCGACGCACTAAAACCTCCTGAATTACTGCAGTTTCGATTTTTAATTTCCAGTGAACATTAGCCCCCTTCCTGATCTAAATCTGGAATTTAAAGGTTCAATGCTACGTAATTCCCAAGCATACCTTGGTGCGGGGCATCTCACTGACCCAGCACATCTACTCAGCGGGCCTGTGCGGGAGTGAAGCCTGCTGTCAAAGCCTTCCCCGGCAGGAAAGGGATTAAGCAAAGAGACATGACGGCGGCAGCACGGGTACCAGGCTTCCTGACGAGCCTCGGAAATCGAACCCCGTTTGAAGCAGGGCGCCGAATTTGCACTGACTTTCACGGCAAGAAAATGCCGATGTAGTGCGATGGACGCCCGCAGTCCTTAGGAGCTCAGACTGTTATAAGCTCTAGAGTGAGGGCCGGGTGCACCCTCCTCATCACCGCCCACCTGCTCCCTAGGGAATACCGTGAGATAGATCAGCCACTGCCAATTAAGCAGTGATTTTCACACAGCATCCGGGCTTCTTACTGACTCGTTCAATCTCAAAGGGAGGCAGACGGCAGTATCTAGACGAAGACCTACCAGCACCACTAACATGACCTCCCATCGACTTAAAGCAGTGTGTGGCTCAGCGGATTAGGACACTAGGCCTGTAATCAGATGGGTGCTGGTTTGAATCCCAGAATCAGCAGAGTGAGTTTACCATTGGGTCCCTGAGCAAGGCCCTTAACCCCTAATTGCTCCAGGGACTATCTGACCTTGCATATCACTTTGGATAAAAGCATCTGCTAAATAAATTATGAGGCTGCAAATAAAAGCTATGAAGCGATACTACTGACCTAGCAAAGTCATTCCCACCATTGCATCATAAACTATGGTCAGATCTTACTGACATCATCAGCCTATGCTGGGACCAACACATCTTAATAAACAGTTGCATGTGACATGCATTCTTCTTAATACAGATAATGGGGACACTTATCTAATTTGAACATCATCTTCTTAATAGATGGTGACAATCTTATATCCCATTCATCCATTACTGAGAACCAATCATCCCATAATGTACATGGTAATCCCACACGAAACATGCCCGTGAATGACCAGCTACGAATCGGAATCAAATCACCAACGCTGATATAAATACCATGGCTCTTGGAGACTATGTATGTAAAACTCGATTTATTTCATTTGTACTAAGGGGCCACATGAACCAAATATTACTGCCCTTAATTACGATACAGACAAGCAGCCAAGCAGCTAATTTCAATCAGTTCTTTCATTATAGTTATAATTCCCCAATATGCAGGATATCGATTATTTGCCCAAAGGGTCAACCATTCATTGAAATAAGTAAAGGTTTTGCTCAAAGGCTCTGCTGAGCAAGGGATTTGAACCAGCAACCTTCTACTGTACATAACCCACTGAGCTTTGTGTATGACACGGCTAAAGTAGGGTTAGCTCTTAAATCAGGGTTTGACTATTCATGCCTGGAGAGTCTCCGGGGATTTTATTAATTTTTTTCTAAAGGCATCCTCCTCTCAGGACAGCGACAGATTGGACGCTGACCCACTCACCCCCCGTCTCCCAGGTGTGGCCTTCACCATCCTGATGCTGCTGGCCAGCCTCAACTCGTGCACCAACCCCTGGATCTACACAGCCTTCTCCAGCAGTGTGTCCCGCGAGCTTCTGGCCCTCCTGCGCTGCCGCCCCCCCCGTGGATCCCGGAAGACCTCACTGCCTGACGACTCGACCGCTACACACACGTCCACGACCGCCGCCAAGGACAGTGTGTACTGAGGCGCGTGAGGGGGGGGCTTGAACAAACAGCTTTCTGATGTGCGAAGGTGCTAAAGAAGAAATAATATATAACCAGAGAATATAGCTCATGGAGTGGGGGGGGGGGTTTCCTGCTATTTTAGTAACAGCAGAGTTTTGACAATACATCCATCTTCCCACCACTTATCCTGGGCAGGGTCACATGGAGGCCTGGAGCCAATCCTAGGCAGCACAGAGTAGGATGCCAGTCCATTGCAGGACACAGGCATATATATACACAAACACTGCAGGCAATTTAGAGATACAAATTAGCTGAGTCGCATGTCTGTGGACTGCAGGATGAAACCCGCAAGGAGAGCATGCAACCCCCCCCCCCCACACACACACACACACACACAAAGACACAGAGCAAAGGTGGGCTTTGAACACCCAATCCTGAAGGGGTGAGGTAAGAGTGCCACCCACTGATCCAGCGTGACTCCATGCAGACACAGAATCTCTGCTAAAACAACACCTGAACAAGCTACTCAGAATCACATTGTCAATGGACATTGAAAGTTCTTAGATCTTACCAACATATTTTAGAATACGAACTCCATGATCACTTCAGACCAGTCTGAAGAAGCATGTTCCAGCCTGTTCAGTCAGAGGACAATTTTAATTGACAACACAAAATTTAAAAAAAAAAAAAGTTAAAATGGTTTGTTGTTTAAAAGTTTTAGCTCAGTCTTGCCCAAAACTATAATGCAGAACACAAAGTGACAAACAAAACGGCAAAACAATAAGACTTAAATACACTCAAGTAAACAGGAGGTCCATTAGGTCTATCAGTAACTGACCATACAAGAGTCAGGGAGCGTGATCACTAAGGGTGCATCCGAAATTGCATACTTACACAGCACATACCAAATTTCATTAGAAGCCTACTACTTGACTCTTAATATAGTGCATACTGTAAGCCTATGTATGTATGACAACAGTATGCATGAACTCAGATATAGGGCAGTCACCATCTTGCATATTACCTGACCCGGGTATTTACCAATAACCTGGCTTGATCCTCATGAAAGTTAAAAACTAAATTTGTACAGTTAGCACTTCGTCCATTATCTTGACAAAAATGTCTGAGCAGGCGATGTTCTTTGCTGCCCCAGAGGCCTTGCGAGATAGCAAAACATCGGTTGCACATTTCGAAGTCTTACAGAACGCATTATGTCATCCGGATCAAGACATACTAAATTTTGCCTACCTGCATAGCGAACAAGTATATGCGATTTCAGACGCGTTAATGATCTGTAACGGATAATTTCCTTGGAGGTAAAACCAAAACGCACAAAACACTATCACGTTATTCAATAACAAAGAAGGCAGATTTGTGGTCGAATACCTTCATGACAAAAAGCAGAAACGGGATCCTGCTAGCTACAGTACACCACCAGAAAGTGACCGCTACCAAAGATACGATTTTAGGTCAACACAACATCCAGGGGGAATTTCAGATTCAGAAACACTTATTCATAAATTAAAGGCCCATCTGTAAATCCTCTGGATAGTGTAGCAGTAAAACTCACTCCACCAGTGTTACAACAGCCAACATAATTTATGTATTTCTTTTTTAAACCACTTTAGGGGTTAATTTGTCAAAGCGTGCATTTTATTCCAAGTTAACCTTGGTGGTAAAACTTGTAAGAAGAGTATTATAATAACATTACAAACGAAGGTATGATGTAATTTTTTAAGTGCTGTATATCTACGCTACTGCAAAAGCATATAGTCACAGACTTAATGCCAATTCATCCAACGATATAATTTCTTAAAAGCCAGTCTGCTTGTCCTTCCAAGTATTATCCAGTCTTGGTTTTCATATTTTCCTCCAGCTGCTTCTTCTCCTTTCAAATATAGCCCTTTACCTGATTCGTCAGTAATCGCCTTTAAATGGTCTGAAAGCCACGGATCTGGTTTCACCGTTATCCAGTACAAAAAAAAAATACGTTTTATTATATAACACATTAATCGACCATCCTTGTTATAGGATAGTAGTTCTCACAAATGTTGGCATAATTTGATAACGATTATCATTGATGCTACATTAATGTTTGTCGGTTAAATTTTATAAATAAAATAATATTTACGTTCAAATGTCTACAAATATAAATCATATATGTACAATATCAAAAAATATTGTAATAAATGTTTATTTAAAACCCTTGTGCCTTTTCCCCTCAAATATTCACATCTCCTGTTCAATCTCGCTTTTCTCTCATGATTTATCCGGCGTATTAGCTCGTAGGCTGTTACTGAGAAACAGCGTCCATTTAATTAATTTCCAAGGCGGTCCGCACCTATTGCGGCGGCTCACGCTGCGAATTCCCCCCACTTATATTTAACGGTCAAGCTGTGGCTTGGGAAATATTAGCGGGGAAATGGAAATCTTTAAGTATAAATTTCTAATGCGCAGGGCTCAGCCAGCGGCGAGCTCCTCCATCTCGGCGCTAGAGGACGCCGGAGGCATTGCGAAGGTGACGGAGGCGCTGCTGAATTTACCTGATAGAAGACGGCTAGAGAGGCCTCCTTTTCCTTTGTGGGTGCAGTATCCGGAGACCGACAGCACCCCCTCTCCTCTCAGTTTCAATGTAAAAGGAAATTAAATTAAAGGGAGTTATTAAAAACAATCTGGTAAGAATTAAGATTTAAAAAAGAATCCCCTACAACTGGTTCAATTTCATGTCCACCTTAACCTAATTATTATGTGACTGACTGAAAGTATACATGTGACAAATATATATTTTGTAGAACCTTTGCAAAAAATTGTATCATTTTGATAATCAACTGGAAGAAAGCTGATTCCCATTCTCTGGGGTACACAACGTTTTTTTTTTTTTCGATGACTCGTCCCATAATTTAAGATAAAGTCATCTGTTAACGTGTTCCTTTTAAAGCACATAGAGTGGTAATTTTCTGTACCATGAGCAGAGCAACAGCATGTGACAAAGCAAAGGGGGGTCTTAAATATCCAAGCGTCCTGTTAACACTAACTACGATCGATGAACAACACAAAGGGGACCATTTTCTGTCAGAGAAGCCACTGCCCTGCCCTTGGCATACAGAAAAACCATTATCAGCATCCTGTGACTCAACTTTTTAGGGCTTGTTTTATAAGACCAGCTGCAGGTATTTTCTTTTTTTCCCCCTGAGAACATACGTTTGCAATAAACACATTTACAGCTCCTCAGAATTTAACTTGTAAGATAATAGTGGAAATAAATCTATAGTTGGAGCTGGAGACGACATAATTACAGCAGAACATAACTACGAAGAATATTCAAATAAACAGGCCTACACAGTTACCAATCAAATGTCCAATGGTGCCACATATAGCTGTGACTGAAATTTGGCATGTTTATCGTTCGCGAGCCTCTAATGCAGGGGTGCCCAACTCCAGTCCTGGGGGGCCAGAACCCTGCACATTTTTGGGTTTCTCCTCATTTAACACGCCTGATTAAACTCCTTGTGCTAATTACCACACAGCTCTTGAGCTGAATCATTTATGGTGCAACAAGGAAAGAGATAAGCTACACGGGGCTCTGGCCCCCCAGGCCTGGAGTTGGGCAGCCCTGCTCTAATGCCATTGTTTTTATACAATGTAGGCTATAAAATGTATACACAAGCATACAGTAAAATCCCGATATAGCGGACTCGCATGTAACGGAATTTCGCTTATAACGGACAAACAATTTGGTCCCCAGGGCCGCTTTTAGCTGTTCGGCCATAACGGACATGCAGGCTCCGCTTACAAGGTGTGTGGCGTGCCGGTGATATCCAGCGCAGATACGTAGTTGGGATTATTAATAGTCACGCATCTAGTCAGGTGAAGTTGGATTATTACATGTACAATATAATAATCTATACCACAAGTGTCTCTGCTGGGGTGTGGCATGAGTAAATGGTGTCCTGTAGTTGTGTTTTGGGTATAGGCCTACAGCAACTCTGGTTATAACGGACTTTGGATATAACAGACTTATTTTGCCAGTTCCCTTGAAGTCCGTTATAACTGGATTTTACCGTCATTAAATTAATCTAATTTACGTACCCAGTTGTTCGATCAGAAGGGATTTTTTTAATCTGCTCTCTCAAAACCCTACCAATAACATCTGTTTGGGAACCAGCCTGACGAACATATATTTCTGATTAAATCGGGACTTTGATGTAAGCGGTTTATGTTATATATCCGCACCGTTAACTCCAGCCCCTGATTATAAAAAACACCACATGGGAATGACGCTTAAATTTCTTCCTCTACTCTGCACGTTACTTCCCAGCGGTTTCTGAGCCCCAAATAGCCTTGCTCTCCATATTAGAAGGTTATTGACTTTCTTAGAAATAGTCCACTTATCACTCTATACATAAAATGTATGCTTATTGATAGTGTTAGAAGGGCACAATAATTGTTTAAAAATATATTAAAAAAAAAAACCAAAAAAAAAACGTGTTTTCAAAAGCAAGGTTTCTTTGCACAAGCCATGAGACTGGTTAACTATATGTATACAAATACTGTATAAGCTAATAAACCACCACGGGGGAGCAGGATTTTGTATCTTGCATATGTTCAATATTAACGGCATTAATAGCCTACCCTATAAGCTGCAGACTGGACCACTGTAAGGATCTGTTTTCTGGGAGTACCTCTGTGTCCTTAAACAGGCTTCCACTGGTGCAGAATGCTGCAGCCATAGTTCATAGTAGGACCAGAAAACCTGATTGTTAGTCCTGTTTTGACGTAGACATAGTGGTCATGCTGCGTCCTGCACGGGGGCTTTAGCCCCCCTAAAATGTTTTTCAGCCCTCGCAAATAAATGTGTATTTATTGGTTTAAGTCGTGAATAGTTTGCCATCGCCCCCCTAACCCCCTCAGTAAAGACTCAGCCCCCCTATCCATTCATCTCTAACTACGCCCCTAGTCCTGGGTATAATGTTTAACTGCATCCAGCTCTGCAAGCGGTCCTCCAACGTACAGAGATAAAAATTGAGGGTTGGCGGCGGAATTGGCACCCCAACCATCTTAAAAAATTCAAACAGCTCTGACGAAGCAGATAGAATTCTTTTCTGCTCTGTGTGGGAGTAGCTCTGCTGCAGCCGCCTCCAGGAAGCATCATACACACATCATGAAAGGGATCAGAACTGCTGTGGTGGCGACACTCGGGTCCTAGTCAGAGGTGGCCCATTCGGGTAGAGGCACGTGGGACCTCCTGTCTCTTCATGAGCTCTGCATTTCAGCGGCGACACTCTCTGAGGTCCAGACCAGGGAGACACCAGAGCCACAATGTTGCACTTCGTACTTCGATACTGGTGGTGCAGCAAAGGAAATCTATCACATCCTCATGGGCAGACTCTGGAGGCTCCTTCAGAACTGCAGTGCCCAATTTGTGAATTCTGTCCACAGACTTGTGGTTGCTACTCTGAAGATTCAGCTTAGGTCCAGTAGGCTACCACCTACTAGGAGAATGAGGCTGGACCCGACCAGACTTCAATATCAGGCTGTTTCTAATGAGTTTGCACGCAGTTGTGTGAGGAACTTGCAGACTTGGATGCGACTGCTGATTCTAATGTGATGTGGGAGACCTTCCATGATAAGACCCTGAAGGTTGCTGAGGTTTGCGTTGGTGTTTCCAGAAGGAGGGACACACCACCTGTAGTTTAGCGACCCAGAGGATGAAGTCTCAGGGTGTCCCATAGGGCAACTCAGTTGACTGAGTCAAGCTCTATAGGGAAATTCACAAAGAAAGTCTGCCAATATTCATGCTTGCCCTTTATGAGAACCCTCAGTGCCAAGATGATAGACTTCTTAGACATATAACTGCTCCACTCACTGATAAGCAAGCAAGTGATCACAGATCCTGTTGAGGATGACCCTAGCAAGGACCTCACCCGGCATTTTAAGGCCCTATCCCCCTGTAGCTGCCACAATCCAGGCGACCACCCTTCCCTGTTTTCCAGTCAGCTTGGATGACGCCTGTCTCCTAAATGGAAGCAATGATTGCTTACAATTCCAGGAGGACAGCCTTACCACCAGCCTGGAGAGCTTCAGCCCAGATACCACAGATCCCTGCAGCCTTCCCTACTCCGAGCTGGTTCACCACTTGTGCAATCTCAGTGAGATTGGGTGGTTCACAGCTACTCGGATGATCAGCCTCAAGAACCGTGGACCCAGAGATGTCCAGCATCCTATCCAGAGGATCAGCTTTAAACTGCTGTTCAAAGTAGTCAGCCCAGTGGGTCACAACTACAGTGTCATCAATAAGGACCATTCCATCACCTGCCTGCCCTGACTATGAGTCTCAGAGGAACAGATTCGGATGTGTATAATGCTTTGATTCCTCTGTAGGTAACATACTTGTTTATTATCCTTACCAAGTATTATGTACTATACATAAGTGTATGTGCTAGACTTTTACATGACTGGCAGGGCAGTAGGTTTGATTACACCAGCATCACCACAAACACGTGAGTAATGCGTTGTACTATGACATCACTAGGTGATAATAATTTTTCAGCTCCATTTAAATGTTATGGGACCACCATCGTAAATGTGGTCTGTCATTGACCAAAACGTCATTACGCAGCGCATGACTGTAGAAATATTATTTCTGTGTGAGTCATCGCAGGGACTCACTGTAAACCAGTCAATCAGAACAGAGCTAATCAATATATTAATGAGCCCACCAAAAAAGGGAAAATGGCCAGTCTCATCTGGGCCAAATCGTTGTTCAACATAGAATACAGCTACTTGGGGCTGTGAGTTGGTTACAGCTAGTGCTGGAGAGACTGGGAACATTTGGTTTCCCAATAAATTACACCAACACAGTGGAGAGAGCAGTTAATAAGACCAAGAATGTCTGTTGGCTCTGTTATACCGAACTTGGATATGTTATTGGAAACACATCCAACATGCTAACTCATTTGAAACGACATCAGCTGAATGTGTGTACAACAGGAGCCAGACAGAAACAGCCTTTTAAGGCCCTTTTGCTGAGAAATTCAGACCAGGGTAAAAAAAAATTACAACTAAGGCTATATGCGACCATACCTGGTACTAAAGAACACAGTATTTAGCTTATTATGATTGTTGTCATGCAATCTTATCTTAGTATTATTTGGACTATTTTACATATTAATTTTTAAGTGTGTAAAAGAGCATCTCTTAGGTTT